TACTACAACTATTCTTAGCTGTTAGGTGATAAGAAAGACGCCTATTCGCAGCGTTGTTGCGGGAGCAGAACAATAAGAAGTGAGAGAAGTGGGAAACCGTGGCAGTTCGCTTATTTGTTGACTTGCCCTTTCAACTCTCCCCTGTACTCCCTGCATCGCATTCCTCTTCTTCCCTTTGAAGAGTGCCGCGCCGTTTGCAACACGCGTCCAGCAAATACTCGGGAAAACTTGTTACCAAGGTCACAAAAGACATTTTTCAAGCTTCCACAGTCGGCAGCGTGGTCTATCGCGGCGGTGGCCTTTGAAGTGTTATCAGTGAAAGCAGCGCTGCTGTTGTTAATGGATAGCGGCAAATTAGAAAAAAAAAAGGATGGCCGAAGGATTCCGACAGCGGCTTTGCGACAAGAGTGTTGACCCCTCCACGATACTACGGTGTACACTATAAATGATACCGCCTTTCTGTAGAAGTGAGAACGAAGTCGCCGAATGACCACAGGGACTGAAGTCACGTGGTATTTAAGCACCAGTCTAGCAATGCACCCAGAAGCTGGTTTTCTGCGCATTTTGATGCACGTGTTTGCACGCTGTGTCTGCCTTCTGAACTCGTGCCTACGCGAGTACGTCATGACTCCTTCTGTCACAACATGGCGCGCGCTACTGTCATCGTCGTGCATCCACGGATATTTCCGCGTAGGTTGTCCTCAGCGGCTCACTCAGGCAAGTCACGATTATTCATTTTTTTCGCTGCTTCAAGATCGCTCACCTCATTTGTCCGCGCGTTTTTTGGGACTCATTCAAAAGTGATTGTGACTTCGGCCACGTCAAATTAGCCTGTACGTTTCGCCACATCCGACCTACGGTTGCGTTTGCTGGCGTATCTCTCGGACTGCAGATGCACTGAACATGTCTGCGTATTTCGCGCTTATCGATGTGCGCAGTAGCTGTCCCCGGCTTGATCGAAGATCCTACGGGGCTGAAAATGCGCCCGCCACACGCATTACATCGTACGTGCTAATCGTATATACGAGCACACGTATAGTACAGTAGGCACATGTATACGAGCACATGTACCATAGAATATTACGGACCATGCGAGCACAAGCCGAAACTGCCGTGAAACAGCAGATGGCAAACTATATGCTGGCGAAAGTATTTGCTACAGTGGCTATATGTATAATGCATAGTAGTGCTCCTGCGATCGCGCGGCCGCCGTCGACAAAAGACGGTTCACCGTTAGAGGGCGCGGACGGCAATTTCGTCTGGCGCTCACTTATTCCGCATTTTGTGGCCAACTGTGCATTCACGGAACTTTAAAGAAGAGTGCGATAGCTTGTGTCACAAATGGTGCGGGTACACAAAATTTATACAATTGTTATGAAGACGGTCTTACTATAGTATCTCAGATACCATTATGCTGCCATGTTTCGCTGATGTATATGCATCATTAACTGAATGCGGATTTCCTCATTTGCATTTATTTCCTGCCACATTTGCGGTAACATCATTGCGTCAATTAGCATGCGGAAGAAACTGGCGCGCACGAATATTCGCGGTTCCTGGTTGTTCCTCAGTTATTTGAATCCTTATCTCGTGGTGTGATCTCAGCTGCTGTATAGTGGTCGTAGTAATCCTGTCAGGTGGCGGAAAGAACACCCATGAAGACTTGAGAGTGAACAATAGTCACACGACCGCGTCAATTTTAACCAGTCGGTACGTAACGCGGGAAATGGACCAACTTCTACATCACTTTACGCAAACGCTTCCCCGCTCGCCATGAAACCAGGCAATCCCCTGCTTTCGCAAGGTGGTGGTTATCAAGTTCGCTCAGGCGTGAATAACGTAGGTTTGGCTGGACGAATCCGCAATCAACAGGCTCTTTGTTTCACGAATGAAACTAACTACTTACTAATTTTGACTATGCTCTTTGCATGCTTTTGCAAGTCGTACGCTCAGTGGTTCGCTTGATGAACGTGCTCATTGAAAACGGATTCTCCGATTAAAGCTTGACGTTCCATCTTCTTTTAAGACTTTGGACACTCCTTAATTATGACCTTGCGCAAATCTTGGCGATTTCACTGGTTTTTCCATGGGAGATGTTAGTTGCGCACAGCGCAAATAGAACATCGAATCTGGTGTACGGGAACACTATTGCCATGTATATAGTTTCTTATCGAGCAGACGTGGAAGTCTCCATAAGTGTCGGCAGGGAGGTGCAAAAGGGGCACTTGCCCCTCTCCCCAAACTCTTCCCAAAGCCAAGGTGCAACATTGGTTTGCATCCCCTTACAGAAAATACTGCCGGCACATATGGCAGTCTCTAAGGCCGCACTTGAAGCTATAGAACATGAATATACCGCACAACATTGCGCCTGAAATGAAGTTTGTCAATGCCATGTGGGGCTTGCGTAGCGTAATACAATTTGATACAATATTTACAACGGATAACACCACGCGCTTCCAGCCTTTGTTGCTCAGTTCTCGCTTCTATATTGATCTTTATGCGGAGCCAGCGTCGACAACACGTAGTCATGCATGCAGTTGCTTCTTTGTAACAGGATCTATTTGTACCACTACGTTTTGTGCACTGATGTGCAGGCGAAACAAATCCGGCGTGTATAGATAACGCGTCTTCATCACAGTCAGTTGCATCCTCTCCGTCGAGATGCCAAGGCGGAACATCTAGGACTCTTGAATCAGTGTTTTAAATTTCTTTCATTGGCTCATTCTCGTGGGTGCCACTATAGCAGTGTCGCAAATGGTCGCAATGGTATACGTGCGTGGGCTGCGAAAGGATGTTGATACGGATATCCTCGCGTCAGAAGCTTGCTTTCTTACGATGACACGTATTCGCTCGTGCAAGCGAGATGCTGCTGCGGCCCTCACCATAAAAATGAGTGAAAAGTGGCCGATTAGTAATACTCATTCAATAGTACTGTCATTAGTATTGTTCTCATTTAGCACTGATTATCGTAAGCTTGAGTTTGAAGAGCTGGTATCAATAGATGCTAACTTAAGTTTGAAGAGCTGAAAGCACTATAGATACTGACTTATACTTAAGTTCATTTCCTCCATATGCGCGTTTTTTTTTTCGTTTCTTTTTTTTTCTGCGAGTCGGTGAGAGAGAGCATGCATTGGTGTCAGCTAGACGTACTCAAACATGAAAACATTACACCACATATACCACAGCTTCGTTTTACCACCGAGGCTCGCGACGACCTCTATATATTATTGTGGAATTATATATTATTGTGTATATTATTGCGGAATTTGAAAATAAAATAAATAATGAGATATGTTCATGAAACCCACTGCTGAAGTAGTTTAAAGAACGTAACGCATATGAAAAAAAAAAGGCTTGACCGGAAAGTCACCTTACAAACTTTTACTGTATGTCAATCGTCTGCACAGATCAGCAACTTTCTGTGCGCCTCCAAGGTAATCTTGCCATCAAATAATTTGTTTTATTTGCTGAAATTAGGGAGAAAAAGCTGTGCTTTCCGTAGTTCTGGTAACTCATTTTGCCGAGCTCTGTCCATAACTGCAGAGCTCAGTTAAATAGAGATAATTCGTGTTCGATTGTTTATATTTTGCGTATCTTCATCAACCGCTTCTCTCACGCCCCTCTTTGCTGCTTCTTGGACGATTAGAAGTCGTCAAGCGTGATTCATATTTCATTGGTGCTTACTCGCTGCAAAAATAACGTAAGAAAGAAAGCAGACCGGATATGGCGCGACGCGAGGTGATCCACGCAGTTCGTTTTTCCGGCTAATTGCATGGTAGAGCCATGGCGCCTCTTTCCCTTCGCTTCTCCCCCCCTCTTTGTAATACTCACTCGGCACGAAAGACTAGGACGAAACGAAGAATTGAGCTTTCCACTGGGGCATGTTCTGTATATACTGCGCCGCTCATAGTGACGCACGTCCGATTCGCGAGCAAAGATTCGAGCGTGCGCCGCCTTATCGGCGATCTCCGGATCTCCCTTGGTTGGTGCGGTTCGGCAACTTCCTCGTCTAACCGACCAACCGCGTACTCGCGTCACTACCGCCACCCAATCAGCGATGCAAGAGAACCATTTTGAAAATGGGTTCCGAGGCGGGCAGGCTCCTTGGAAAGCGAGCGAGTTAAAATTTAAAAAAAGAGTTCGCGAAAGAAAGGATGTGGGCTGTCTTTCTCGCGTAAGCCAGAGTTAGCAGCGACGCTATACGCGTGGCCTCCAAGCACGTTCATTTGTTTGCCCGTGTCCCACGCCTTTCAAACAACGTATCCAGCCGCGATCAGTTGATCTACTCCTTGTACACATGTTCGGCCGCCATCTTGTTCGAAACCTTTCCGGCCCCGGCTGGGACATGTGGGATGCAGAGTACGTTTCCTCTGGTTTTACTTGCCAATAATATTAGTGATATTGCTAAGGAAAATATTCATTATTTGTACGGCTACTGTTCGTTCACGCAGCGATGATTTGAAGACGTCGTTGGAAAATAGTGTAGCCATTTATTTCTTACTTTTAATTGTGGCCAACCCTTTCGCATGTTTGAGATAGGGCCAATGTTTTTTTTTTGTTTTTTTGCTACAATTTCTACTATGATGTATTTTCGTAAAGTGAAAGCAAATGAAAAAAAAAAAGAATGCTTCTGTTCGTCATTCACCTCTTGTCTTCTACTTTTTTTCACGCTATATTTAGATACTCATTTCTACACTACATGTTTTACCATGTTTCTCTGATTATTGTCGTGGACGGTGACGTAATTACTAGTTTGTAATTATTACGAGGGAAATTGAGACGTAATATGCATCATATATTTTACTCTTAATTGAAGGTGTCTAATTTATGTAGAGCAAGCGGGGATGTTTTAGGTGTACAGGTTGATAATTTGCAATTCTAAGTGGGTTCCTTATGGTTTTCCTTGACGTGTTTCTGCGGGTATTTCAGCAACGCAAGCTCTCGCAGTCAGATCAGTGCAAACTCGCGTATTGAAATGTTTACATTGTTTCTGCTCGCAGAACTTCCAACTCAAGTGCCTCCTCTTACTCCTGGGACCAACCAAAAGATGACGCAAGCCTTAACTGCTAGCTTCAGCAGTTGGGAAAAGGAACGAGAGTCGCTGAACATCGTCAAGGGTGAGCATAACCCTGTTTTCGTGTCTTCCGATTTCTTAGATATGGCTAACTTATTCTTCTTCACACCGCTTTGTTTGCTATCCGTGCACTGGGCGACCAATATACCAAGAATATGCAAGAACAGAACAGGGACCAACTGCATATATGCGATAAAGTCGCAAAGCATTACTGCATGAACATAATGGAATTCGCAGTATACTGCTAAGCTCAACAGAACTGAAGCGGTGACTTTTGCGATTGTCAATGACAAGAGCTTCCGCTAATCCAAACTTTATTAACCAGTTTTATCCAAACAGAGAGGTACAAATCAATTGCGAGAAGTGCGATGGCATCATTACTCTGGACCACATGCTTTGGCAGTGTCCTGCGGCTTTCACTGGCTGTCACAAGGAAACACACTGTGGCAAAGAGTGCTTCACAGTGGACATCTTTCAGATCACAAGTACAGGGCCGTCTAGAAGGGCTACGATACGGCTGTAAGGTTAAATCTTACGTGGGAACCACCTGTGTCAACCTAAGCCACGGCCGATTTGGAGGCACGTGCTCGGAGAGATCGAGAGTGCCCCCTCTAGACCGGCCATACCATACCACACCACACCACACCACACCACACCGCACCACACCACACCACACCACCCCACACCACCCCACACCATACCACTTTGTTTCCTGAACACGGCCGACCTCGTGCATTGAATGGATCCGTATAGTATAGGACGGAATCCTGAAGCTGTCGGCACGAGGGACATTCTTGACTATACTGCGAGCACGCTCATACGCAATTCTTGGAGAGTTGGTGCATTATTACTAGCGCGTGCAGAAACTGTGCGACTTGCGAACGTCCAGCCACTGACACATGTATGGGTATACGTGTCACGTGATTACCTATACGTGTACAAAAGAGCTGTCGCAGGACTTGCGATGTTCGCGCCCTCGCCAAGTGACAAAATCTTTCCTCCGCGTTTCTCAGAATATCCGCGTTTCACTTACTCCCCACAAATGCACGCAGCTATGGGGCGATAGTCCATTCAACAGTTCACACCTGCGCCCACGCTGGCAGCACGTCTCAACTGTGCACGCGCCTATACTTGTCGAGAGTTGTCTTCCCGAGAGCGTGCTTCACTCCCGAGCCGAGAGGCGCGCATACAACGTATAGAAAAGACCTCGTCTCGTAATCGGAGACGGCTCGGCCTGGGATCCATCGCGCTTTCTTTAGCTAGTTACGTGCACCGGTACGTCGGCTGAGAAACGGATAAGCTCGTGAGTGCACGTGCCTGGGACTTGCCTGACATGGGCAGGCTTGTTTCGCGCCCTCTTCTTGGGACTACGCGTATATTGATGTACATGGACATATGTGTTGTGTGCAGTACACTTACATATAGTGAGTGGTGTGAGCAGAACAGCAGAGATTGAATGTAGCGCAGCGCTGTGCAACATGAGATGTGCTGTGTCCCACAGCACTCAACTTCAAGTGTTCAAAACTACGAAGCGCATTTTAGGTTTGCGAGGCACAGCAGTTCGATGCATCGTGTTCGACGTGTTACGGCTGCGTTGAAGTTCGCTCCTGCCGTAACCACGGCAGTAACCACGGCAGTACACTGTACAACGGCAGTACACTGTACTGCCGTTGTACAGACGGGTGCTATAACAACGGCAGTACACTGTACTGCCGTGGTTATAGCACCCGTCTTATGACCCGTTTATATCCACAATGACACGTGCCGGTGTCCTCGCTGACAGGGATTGGTTTGGAAGGGTCGCAACTGGCGGAGGGTGTCCATTGTGTACCAGGGCTGCACACAGCCTGGCGGGGGCGAGGCCACCACAGGGCGAGGTGCGGGCGTTGCTCCCCGCAGGCTGAAAACCAGCGTGTTGTGCGGGGGCAGGATATCCCTTGTGTGACAGGTGAATCGCAGTTCCCCTCCGAGCTGTATAGTATTCTGGGGCATGTCCGGCGGATGTCACGTGTTGTGCCCTGGTTAGAGACCTTTTTGCGCCTTTTCACCACGCTTCGTTATGCTTCTTTTTAGCGGGCTCTCGCGAACATCGCCATGCAAATGGCACACAGCTCATATATGAGCGGTAACCTGGGGCCATAAGTGCCTGCTCGCGGTCGTCGACCGAATGGTGCCTTCTAAGCGTGTCCCCCAAAATGACAACACGCGTCGATTTTGTTTTTTATTGTATCGTTTCGACTTGAGCGAGTGATTGAGTGCGTTTGACAAAGATTAACGCGCGCGAAATCAGACAAAATGTATAATTAACAACATCACGAATAATCCACAAGCTCCGTCATTCATACTATATTCCCGTGCCTTAAGTCTTGCTGACTCTCCTGCGCGCTGTTTTGAGGTGTAATCTCACTAAATGAAGCTACAATAAGAGTCTGCTCTAACATAAATATGCGCGTAATGTTAGACTATGAGATGGCTTGCTGCCTATAAGGTCGAGCGATACCTCCTGACTCTCAAAGTATATTTTATGGGGACAAAAGTGAGTGCTTTTGAAAAGATTTAGGTCCGTATTCACAAACCAACCTCATACCTTCCTCAAGTTTTGCTTATAGATTTTGAACCTTTATTACGCATGATAAACAAATTTCTCCAGTATACCTTAAACAGTCTTGTCCTCATTTTTCACCTTATTGCCATTTTTGTGCCTTTATTACGCATGTAGAGAGTACAGGAAGTTGAGGAAAACGTGAGGTAAGGCTGAGGTTGGTTTGTGAATACAGGCCTTAGGATCAACTTAGACTAAATAAGTGTGCATTCTCTTAATTTTACAAACACTGATTTCGTTTATCACAATGAAGCCCTCATCGCTTACTTATATCCTGACATCTCAGCACATTTGGACCGAGAAACTCCCTCACTTCACACAGTAATACAAGTATCTTATTTTTTTTTCTTTCCTTCATGAGAGGTGAAGGGAGAGGAGAGAAAGAGAAATCGAACAAAGCACAACCTTGCTACAATCGTCGGGTGTTTGGGCGCATTTGCTTTTTTTTGGGGTGGGGGGGGTGGGGGGGGGTTGGGCTGTTCGAGGTTGGTGGAGCCATGGGACGGCATGCCGGAAATTGCTCGTTTGCCGCCTGGAATTGAACTTTCGAGGTCCAATAGGAGCGAGTAGGTTTGCCAGCAGCAGTTCCTCCGTAACGCGCTTACGCCACTTGTGTCCTGCCAAACACGCAGTGTTCTTTCTAGTTCTTTTTAGTGTCGGGTTACCTTACGGCTGGCGTTTACCTTATACTGCCCAAAGCAACGAACAGCAAAAAGCACACATTGCATCTAGCAAACATGTATACGCACCCTCCACACAAGGAAGGAATCGGTAGTGCTAATGCGAGCGTTCGCCTTCACTGCAACGTCAATGGTCCGCAGGAGAAGAAACAAGCAAGATAGAGGGCGCGTTGGAAGCCGAGACGTGATGTAGTTACACAGCCAAGAAGCAAAGATGAGCAAGTAAAGCAACGAGTGCCCACACTACAGGATTGAGTCGGGGTTTGTAGGAAGCGTTCGAAAAAAAAAACGTATAAGCAATACTTAGAAATAGCTAGAACGAAAAAGAAAGGAAGCTTGTTTGAAGAACGACGGGAGCGAATATCGGAAATCGGTATAAATGGAGATGCATGGTCAGCGCCGGAGCTCAGATCCTCGTCCAGCAGCGTTCTCAATCTGGCGGTCACTCGGTATAGGTGCGCTGGTCCTTCTCACGCGCGTATATAGCGATCGAGGAGCCCCCCGCCGGCTTACACACGTTGCAACGATTCTTCGTGCTCGCTCTCGCTCATTTTTTGTTTTGTATCTCGTGGCCTCCGAGTTCTTCAGCTTGCTACATCACTTAAGTCGGCTGTGGCTATCCATGGACCAGTGAGTGGGCGCGCGTGCCTATGGCAGCCTTTAAAACGCCGCAGGCGTTGCACCGCATCCTAATGGCCCCATAACCGAAACATCAAATGCTTCTGGGACGATGGCAATCGCAGGCTATGGAGGTATGGTTTCGATTTCTTAATGACTGGAATCTCGAGTATGTACCATGACGTAAAGATGTATGAAATAACGCTGGCGGTTTGGTACGACGTCCTGGTGTTTGGGCTCCGACAAAGTTTTCAGCTTGTAACTCGTCATAAGTCCTTTCCTTAACGCTGGCGCACAGCCACTATACCATGGGCGCTGCAAGCAGAGCCTCCTCCGAGTAACGCAGTCTTCGAGTTCGGGTAGGAGCAGACACTATCTCAAAGCCGACTCGGGCTCACACAGGCAGATCTGTTGTCATCACTATCGTCTCAATTAGACGCATGGTTATATATATTTTTAGGCCTGCCATCTATACATGCGAAACCTTTTGCCTTCGTAGTGTTTGTTGTTCTTTCCCAAAGTGTAGCGTTACATTACGGCGTTTCCCACTTTGTAAGAGTATTCTCTCTTCTAATTCGTCGCCTTTTCTCATTTCAGACCCTCGGCAGTGGTCGGAGATGGACGTGGCGAACTGGCTGAGCTGGGCGATTCGCGAGTTCAGCCTGGAAGGCGTCAACATGCCCACCTTTGCCATGAAGGGCAAGGACATGTGTGCACTCGGCAAGGATGCCTTCCTCGCAAGGTTTCCGCCCTTCATGGGCGACATCCTCTGGGAGCACCTGGACATTCTCGAAAAAGGTAGCTTTGCCTCTCGACTGGCTTCTCGTTCGATCGAAATCTGTCACCACGCAGAAACTGCCATAATGTTGACGTAGGTAACAGCATCGAGAGGGCTCTGTATTCGTATGGTGTTATCGATGGCACTCGAATATACAGGGAAGTTTTAAAAAAATGAAAGTGTTTACTGCCGACAGCCCTGACCCATTTAGCGGATGTCTTAAAGCTCCTTTATGTGCGGCAATTGACAAGTCATTCAAGATCCACATTAAGAGCTAAAGTAGATGGTCAGAACTTCTTACATCTATCTGTTGTTTGGCGCAAGGAAAGTGGCAAACTTGTCCCTTATATTGGACCGTTGCTGAATTAATTAGCATAATTGAATGAGTATTAGCTAGTCGACAAAGGCTCCCCCCCATAAATTTGTATAGTGGGGTAGTTTTATAGTGGATAGTTTTATAGTGTTTTTCAAAGATTTTAACAAATACCCCCCCCCCCTTCCCTCAAAAGAAATTCCTGGCTACGGGCTTGCTTATAATGCATTTCTTTCTGCTTTAGCCAGATGAGAATAAAAATGAGTTGTAGATTTATATCGAAACATTTTTTTCTCATATGACGTTGTTCGAGAACCGTAAATGGGAGCTGCTGATATTTACATCGTACAAATTTAAACGCGAATGAATAGGTTCTTAGGTACGGCAGTGTTATTTCTAAGACGGGACGAAAGTTGTGTTCGTCAACAGCTGTGTTGAGCGAAGAGAGAGAAGAAATGTAGAAAAAGTAGGGATGGTAAATGCGTTGAGATTTGGGATGTAAACAAGCGGCTCGGTCAACAGCGTGCCGTGTGGTCAGCTCTATTTAAGACAGCCACGGGTGGTATAGCTCGTTTTTGAATAACCGCTTTGTGCAGGTATACCTCTGATTTTATATGAATCAGTGTTATTGGGAGTGCGCCCTCGTTTGTTCTTCACTTTCACAGCGAAAGCAGAGTTCGCTCAATCAGCCCCTCTGTTTGATCATGCAGTTTGTAGTGCATGATCATCATCATCATTTTTTCAACCACCGCGCCGCGCCTCTCGCGCAGCTGATGCGAGCTCGAGCTGCGCGAGGATTAGAACAAGTTAGCGCACTTGGTGTTTCGGACGTGGACAGCCACCGCGGCTCCGTTTGAGGCGTGGAATAAAGTGGCGAGAAAGAAGACACGACCACGTTGGCCGCCGTCTCGTCTACCTCTCAAGCTACAAGTTCTTTACATAAGACGTGCTATGCCTACAATCCGGCGAGGCGCGGATGGTAGGGATAGCACGTACACTTTCAGGAAGAGGAGCATGTGTTACTCTTTTCACGGAATCCCGATTAGCCACGTATATGTGCTCCGCCGCGGTGGTCTAGTGGCTAAGGTACTCGGCTGCTGACCCGCAGGTCGCGGGTTCGAATCCCGACTGCGGCGGCTGCATTTCCGATGGAGGCGGAAACTTTGTAGGCCCGTGTGCTCAGATTTGGGTGCGCGTTAAAGAACTCCAGGTGGTCTAAATTTCCGGAGCCCTCCACTACGGCGTCTCTCATAATCATGTGGTGGTTTTGGGACGTTAAACCCCACATATCAATCAATCAAAGCCACGTATATGACTCTTTGACGAGAGATATAAACTCTCTTTTGGGTAACAACTACTCTGCGACGAGAGTAAACTTGCCCCCAGAGACCACTGCCTTTAAAGAGATATATACATGGCAATTAGGTCTGTGCTAAAAAAAGTAAAAAAGGCTCTTTCTGAGAATACCCATGTGACACCCACTTGTCTTAGCCTATTTAAAGACTGGGTAATTAATTGATAACGGCTATCTGCAATGCTAGGAACATAGACGGTAAAAGGAAATCGTGTCGGGTTAAGGTATACCTGCACCACGCGCTGCCGTAGGGGTGTTCCACGATTTGGCGGCGCCGCCCACCCGGAGAGCAAATACGCCTCGCCCCGGGGCGGGCGATGCCGCGTAGGGGAGGGTCCCACGTGAGAGCGCGAGCACACAGAAAGCCCCCGTGTATGCATACGAAGTCCTCGCCGTGATGGAGCTGAAGAGTGTGGAAGAAAGAAGCCGCCGAGACTGGTTTGTGTGCGCGCGTGCGTGCTTACGAGGCTTCGGTCTGGTCATGCGACGCGACCGAGTGACTCATACACGGCCCTCGCGGTGACGACGGTTCGCTCTCGTATGTGTCGTGGGCGTCGCCAGTGATACGGAAAGCCTTTACACGGAGGCTCTGCAGCGTTCGCTATATACGTTGCAGTCAAAAATTTTGCCTCGCGTACTGACAAGCTTCGACCGGAGCTCGTCTTGTTCTGCAGAAATGGTTCCGCGCCATTCACTATTGAGAGAGCCTAAAAACGTGACGTCTGGTAACGTGTATTTAGGGCATGTCGAGTTTCAATAATGATTGATATGTGGGGTTTAACGTCCCAAAATCACCATATGATTATGAGAGACGCCGTAGTGGAGGGCTCCGGAAATTTTGACCACCCGGGGTTCTTTAACGTGCACCCAAATCTGAGCACACGGGCATGCAACATTTCCGCCTCCATCGGAAATGCAGCCGCCACAGCCGGGATTCGAACCCGCAACCTGCGGGTCAGCAGCCGAGTACCTTAGCCACTAGACCACCGCGGCGGGGCTGTCGAGTTTCAACGTGCTGATAGTTATAACGCGAGAACAGAACGTTGACACAGAGACAAGAAGAACACGGAGGACACGAGCGCTCGTGTCCTTCGTGTTCTTCTTGTCTCTGTGTCGTCCTTCTGTTCTCGCGTTATATCTATCGTCATGTCATACCAACTAGCCGAAGCTGCCACACTTCAACGTGCTATCGCATCTGTCGTCGTGGCCAGGCTCACTGAGTCTTTAAAAAAAGGAAGAGTCGTTTCACTCTTGTTCGTTATATTGGTATTTTATGATATTTTATTTTTATTTTATATCAACTTTTTCTCCTATGTCGTCAATATGAACTTGCGCAGCTATCAGAATATTTTTTTTTTCGTTGTAGCATACTGGGGGAACAGTTGCCTTGACATCCCAAACAGCGTTGCCAGCCAGATATCTTAATGCGGAGAACAAGTTACTTTGTAAAGGCACGAGTTCTTACAAGAGTCCCGGGTGCCACACCCGCACTGTTCTATGAAAGTTCTTGTCAAAAGCGTAATTGACAAGAATCTGACTTTGTTTCGAAGTATCACAAAAAATACTGATTAGCTTTTTTTTTTCAGTTAGCGCTATGACGAAGTGACCTAGCTAGGGGGTGGTTATATGCCAACACCCAGCAACGGCCACCATTGCTGGGTGCTGGCATATGGCTCTCCGGACCCGTGCTTACCTATCTTCCCGAAATTTTTTTCGCTCTGAATACATAGTGCAGAAAGACGGCATGCCTGTCCAGCTCCCCCTTTTAAATCAAGGAGGCCCCTCCCCTTCTTTCCACCACAAAAATTCTGCATACGTGTGAAGTCCGCGGTTTGTGGTGCGTAAGCTTCAGCGAAGTCTCAACTGTCTGCATCGACAACGAAACAAAATACAATTTGTGGTATTTCCACAGTGGGTAATTAGAGCGTAAGAGCGGGCTTTTTATCGTGCGTCCGATTTGGATGGTGTCATTATAGGCCTGCAGCAATAACTACAGAGACAGAGAGAGAGAGAGAGAGAGAGAGAAAAACAACGCTTTCGAAGTAAAATCACATCCACTGAACCTCAAAGCGTGGCGTCATTTCTGGCCTCAAGAGATAAACCCACGCGAGCAGCAACTCCAGGTCCATGTACGCTGACACAGGAGCCACTCAAGTGTACGTGTCGCCCAAATTGAGTCACACACCCATGCCGTCGCTGATAAGCGGTCCGTTTGCAGAAACTTCCGTTCGTTGGAGACGGACTGGTTCGTCAGATAAGGAGCTGAGCGTTCTTGAAGCGCTCGCCACTGCTCAACGTATACATATATGCAGCGTTCAGTTAATGAAAACAAAAGTCGCATAACGGAGGGACTGTGTGGGTCCTACTGGAAGATGCTTAGATGCTACTGGAAGGTATATGGTTAGCTTTGGACATTTGGGTTACCAGCGTACTTAAGATGGTTGTATATGCCGTACATAGTGAACATATATATGGAGAAAAATGCTTCGCGCCTCTTTGGCCTTCAGAGTTTGTTCATGTAGCCACAGAGGGATCGTAAGTGTGCAGATGTGAATTCGGCATTCACACTTAATAATGAGGGACGATTAGGTGAGGATGCGCTAATCTGGCTGGCAAGAGCGCTTTTCGCACCATGAGCGACCGCTGTAAGTTGTACAGAGGACGGCGAACGCTATTGTCACTTAGAAGTGTGGCAGTTTGAGTTAGTTAGTATGACATAACGATAGTTATAGCACGAGAACAGAACGACGACAAAGAGAAAATATAGCGCTCGTGTCCTTCTTATCTCTTTGTCGTCGTTCTGTTCTCGCGCTATAACTATCGCTATTGTCACATTTGAAAATTGAGCCTCGCGTAATAGGGAGGCATACCCTCCGCATTTCGAAATGACCCAATGGCACGTGTCCAAAGCTCCTCAGGTTTTTCTCGTTCGTTGACCAACCGTCGTGTGTGGCCCCTTTGTTCTAGCCACGCATGCATACCAGAGGGGGGGGGGGGAGGAGCTTTCAAGAAAGTAAGTACTATCTGGTTCTGGAGACAAGAAGATTATACAGCGTCATTTGCGCATAATGAGGTAACGTACACTTGAATCAAGGCTTGGGCTTCACAGCTCACAGCTTGACGCTTTGGTTCGCCGGCGTAATATTTTTTTTTCTTTTTGAATGCCTGCTTTGTCAGATGTACGAAGCCTCACTTTGATGACGGCACCAAGTGCGTATGTATGTATGTGTATGTATGTATGTATGTATGTATGTATGTATGTATGTATGTATGTATGTATGTATGTATGTATGTATGTATGTATGTATGTATGTATGTATGTATGTATGTATGTATGTATGTATGTATGTATG